ATGATTGCAGCCTTCTAAATGGATGTGCACCCTCAGTTTGCAAGTTTTTGGTGCGAGACTTCATGCGTTGCCAAGACATTTGCTCCACTGGTGCTTTGTGTGGCAATCAAGTTGGTATACGATCCCGTATTGAGACATGTCCAGTTCATTGTGAAAGCTCAAAGCATGGACATGAATGCACAGCTAAAAGCAGCTATGTGTGAATGTTGAGCATGATTGCAGCCTTCTAAATGGATGTGTTGATACAACTTGGCGCTCCAACGCTGCTGTGGAGCTACGACAGAAGCATTGGTAGAGGTATGTTTGGTTTTACACTTTGGACAATTTAAGTGCAAATGGATTGCCTGCAGACATGATTTTGGCTTGTGAACAGATGTCCGCTTTCTGTCTTAGCCACTCATGCATCTGCGGTGATTTTGGGTGTTGGAAGCACTTCCGTAAGTTTCCACAATACTCCAGCGGTGACAACACGAACACGTTTCTCAGTTCCTTCCTCCAGGTAATCTTATGAAGACCCACGTCGGTGCTGCACTTCGGTTGGGCTCAAGGCCAACGATTGCTACTCTCGGCAAGATAGAGTCACTGACCGTTGCACTTGTTTAACTTTGGAAGCCTTGAGCGACCAAGTCATTGCAAGAAGGAATATGAGCACTAAGGGGCCACAGCACATCATTCAGCAAGCTTTGTGCTTTTCGAGGGGGTGATTTTGCTAAAGATATTGAGGTCGATGTACCATGAATGCTCCCTCCCCAGATAAAGCAACACAATTACCAAGAGCAATGGATATTCTAACATATTAAATAAAGCAAGTCATTTGCTCAGAAAAGGTAAGAATTCTCTCCCGAATGCAAATTTCCTTTCGTTTCGATTCCAGAAAAATCCTACCCTCGCTCGTCAATACTTGTCAAAGAAACACTTTAGGTTTATGTAGACGCTTTTCATTTTGGTAGGGGCCATAGGTGGACATTTGAGAAACTACAGATGGATGTTTTGAGCAGCAAAGTTTCTCACAAGTCGCTTCGTTCTCTCTTTCTGCGACAGACTCATTGAGGAGCGCAATGAGAAGAGCCCCACTCTCTGTAAGGCAAGAAAAGCAACCAAGTTGAATAGGTTGAAAGTGCTTGAGACGTGGTTTTGACTTCAGCTGGCGCAGTGCTGGTGTGACATGCACACCCGGCCAAAAGCAGAAGAAATTGATGCTGAAGATACGCGGGACACGACGTTGACTCCTTTCTAGGGAAAAATTACTGGCCACGTGCCGTGCCAGTCAGTGGGGGAGCCAAAATCCATGTTGACAGCAGAGAAAGCTGCCAAACCAAAGAAAGGCAACCAAGTTGTTTTGGTGGAAAGTGGTTTGGACATGATATGTTGACTTCAGCTGACGCAATGCTGGTGTGACATGACACCAGGCCAGAAGCAGAAGGAATTGATGCCGAAGATACGCGGGACACGACGTTAACTCCTTTCTAGGGAAAAATTACTGGCCACGTGCCGTGCCAGTCAGTGGGGGAGCCAAAATCCATGTTGACAGCAGAGAAAGCTGCCAGACCAAAGAAAGGCAACCAAGTTGTTTTGGTGGAAAGTGGTTTGGACATGATATGCTGACTTCAGTTGGCACAGCGGTGCCCAGAACCTGTGGCAAGCCTGGAAGTTCATTCAGGTTTTGAGAGGCATACGTCCTGACCGAAAGAAAACATTGAGACAGCATTTGTCTTGACTTCAACTGTCCGTGCCACTCACCTTTCGTCCACTCAAATTGCTGAACCTTGCACAAGCATGGCCTGTCTTTTGGGACACAGGTCAGCTGTATGCTGCATGGAGAGGTGTTTGAGAACTTCACATCCAAGTACCCAGAAGTTCAAACTTTGGTGAGACATGCGCAGGTGATCAAAAAGCGAAAAAGTCGATCTTGAAGGTGCTGTCGATATGGTGCCCGTCCAGGTCCTGAAACTCAATATGCATTTTATGGCTTTTCTACTTTGCCGATTCGGTGGGTCACATCACAGTAAAAACCGCACTTTGTGCCAGCCACATTTCCTCTTCGCTTCCATTTCTCAGGAAGTGTGTGACTCTCCCCTGGGTAATGTTTCCGCAGTGTACCCTGTAGTGTGTTCTTTTTGCAGTACGTCAATCTCAAATGTGTTGCCTTTGTGCCGCCAAGGTTGCATTTAATGGACATGAACGGCAGGTTGAAAAGGTTTCAAGGCTGAATCATTCGCCGAACGAAGGTCCTGCTTTTATGTGAAAGGAAGGCAAAGTTGAAGGTGTATAGCCAAGATGCAAATGCACAAGGCTGCTTGATACAGCGCCTTTGTTTGTCCTTATTGGAGGACAACCCATGCAGCTTTACCCTGAAGCAGTCATCAAATAGCAATTGACGGGGCTTTTTGATAGGCCCAACATACCACCCGAGATGTGACCCATGTGTTTGTTGCATGAGACGGTACATTATCAAACACGAAAACATGTCTCGTGGGGTAATTTCTCTGATTTGGGCTGGATGGTAGGTGGACATGCTTGCGCTTGCTTGGATGGTTCAGCTAGTTCAATTCACCAGAAGTCAAGAATTTGCCAGGCTGCCTTTGTGCCGCAGAGTTTTTGCTATCTGGTTGATGCTCCGGTCATTGAACATCCCTGAAGCTAAGAAGGCTAAGACCCTGCAAATTTCTTGCCATCGTGCAACCCGTGCGCATGATGAAAACAGATGGCCATATAGCAACAAGAAAGCTATTGACCATCATTGAAGGCAGGGCTGGAGTGCATGTTGAAGCCCCTGCACAATGCCAAAGAGCATTCTGGGATTTGTGGTCTCGACTGCAGTTCAAGTGCAAAGGGCAAAGGGCCTTGCTGTGCATGAATGACACCCAGCGTTTACTGCATAATTGAAGTTTCCAAGTCATGGTTTCACAAAGCCACCTCAAATGTTTTTTCTGTTGCTGCTGTAATGGCAAAGGGCATTCACTCAAGTATACATTATATACCTTGCCATTTGAAGTCAGCATCGCTGATCCAATTACTGTACGTATGGTTCAAGCCAAGTACTAGGGTATAGAGGATTGAACAAACAGCAATGTAGCATGACTTGTAACAAGCAGTAAGTGATACACCATTGACTTGACCTGGGTTCTGAAAAGGTCACAACCGTCATACAGTATACAGCATTTTGCTTTGCAAATTTGTGGACCTTCATTGTGGCAATTTGTTTCAAGGTCAATTGAGCCAAGTTTCTTGACACTGGTGAAGCCTTACAACACATGACACTCCAGGGTTGCCCGGCCATGAGGCGCGTTACGCGATACTCAAGTGGTGCTTACCTGGGAACTGGCTCTCCCTCTCGCTCTCTCGCTCTCTCGCTCTCTTTATTTTTTAAGGCCTCATTGTGTTCATCTCTGAAAGTCAAAAAGTCGAGGGCTCAAGCCTTGAAGGCCTTGAGCGCACTAAGTCGAATCTCTATCGTGAAAACACTGGGATTTGGCGCGCATGGGTCAGTCTACAAGTGCAATGTGACATGCGGTGCTTTTGAGAGTTTCCTCTTAGTGAACCGGATGAGGCGGGCTGCTGACTTCAAAGACCGAGCCTTTTTCTTGCAAGAGTGCGCTTGCCAACGTGGGTGATCCCGGCTACATAGAAGCTGCTGACAGACTTTGAACATGATGCCTTTCATGAACAAGGTGATCTTCTTGACATGCTGAAGCTGAATTTGTGCTGACAACAACTTTTTCAGGTTGGTGTGAGGGAATTCAACAACTGGTTTCGCTTCAGTTATTGCTGATTTATTGATGGCTCTTGTGTTGGCGAAGTGGCATGCTGAGGTCTTGCAGCGTGTTCGCCCACAAGACCGATCCACAGCCTTTGCAGTGCGGATGTCTGTGCAAAAATGGTTGCATTGGAGACTGCACATCCACTGACTCAAGAAGCACATGTTGTCAAGAAATGGGGAACTGCTTGAATTTTGTCGAACACGTGCAGTGCATGTGAATGTTTTCAATCTTGGAATCACTGGTTGCACCCACTCTGGAAACTTGTGGAGCACGTTCTAGAGTTGAGTGAGATGTCCTTGTCGCCTGCAACGGGTCGCAGTGAACAATATTTTTGTGCAGGCTTTCCTATTGGTTTAGTCACTTGCACGTTCCCTCCGCTGCTTTTGATGGCTCTAGTTTTAACAGGGAACCGTTGCTTGAAAGGCTGTGCTAGCAAGTGTGACTTTCAACGCAATCGGACAGTTGGTTTGACCAGTACCCCCTCAGTCGAATGAGGTCATGTGGAGATTTTGATTTGTGATTGCCAAAGGCGTCTTGCGTGCAACGTTAAAACACCCCAAGGGGCTTGCCACACGCCCGTAGCCAGTGGAATTGCACTTGTTGATTGGAATTGCTTGAGTTAAACAAGTGTGCATGCAGAGGCATCAGCCAGAGCAGTAGTTTCTTTGTTTTTTGTGATTACCAGCTTGTCAGGCCGAGTGTGCTCCGGAATCGCGATGAAAGGCCTCGCAGGCATTGGAAGTGAGAGCTATGGTTTGGAGGAAGAAACACATCCATTCGAGCGTGCGGAGTGCGGGGCGAAAGAGCATTCAAGCCAGATCGTTCGGTTTGGTGACGGCCAGCATTTGAGGAAATGTGCATTCCGGTCAGAACACACAGGTTTGAAACTATCCATTCTGCTCATGGCTCCAGGTCGTTCGTTTGCGTATGAAGAACAAGGTCGAACTTTTGGGGTCAACATTTTCAGTTCAATCTACAGTAGCTTACTTGTGCGGCAAAGTGATTGCTTTTGTAGGACAATTGTATCTTTCAAAGAACCAAATCGGCCTTCCATGGAGTGGGGCCTGGAATTGCTGCAGGAGCCCGAGAGGCTAACAGGGCATGGGAGGGGATCTCCAGAAGACCTAATGGGCCTCATGTCAAGGTCGCGTGGCTGCGCTTTTCGCCCAGCGTTCTGTGCAGCGACTTTGGATTGGCGTAAACTCTAGGCCTTCCTACCCCGGTGGAGAAGAGAACAAAGACCAGGATTTATTCAGTTTCTGGCCCCTGGAGTTGCTGAACAACCACAACGTTCATGTGGCAAACAAAATTGCCACCAGTGTGATGAAGCTTGAAGGTTCCTTTTTGCATGGGTGTTTTTCCCAATGGAGGAACCTCTCAATCACAACTGGCCCTTCATAGGTGCAGTCAGATTCGGTTGCACAGGGATGTCACACATGGAGATCATGCTTGGTTGGTAAGTCCTTTTGAGGATCCCTCATAGCCCCTGGCGGTTTCGATCCATGGGGATGGTCTTACTGCAGAAGATGTTGCAAGCATTTGGTTACTGTTGATCCTTAAGTGGTGAGTCTCAGTTCCCAAGAAGAACTATACAGACAAGACGGTACCAATAAACAAATCAAGCAAAGAATTTGAGCATGCGGCATGCAGGATATTTTTGAAATCATGCATTTCCATGCATTTGTGCAGCTGATCACCTTTCATCTCCCACATGGCCTGCCTTGGAGGTGCTTTCTGGAGCTCCAGCACGCGCGGGCTGCCTACCGGCCAGGCTTAGGTAGCTTCCAGTGGGAGGCCATCTGCCCACTCGCTAGATTTGATGGGAGGGTTGGTGGGTTTGGCATTTGATGTCTATGCGATAGGGGTGTTTGTGTTTCCTTTTATTCTTAGTCTTAGCCAAGTTGCGTCCATCGAATGGTGCACCGGAACCTTTTGCGCTTCACAGGAAGTGATAGAGGAAACATCGCAACTTTCACCCTGTATTTCTCGTGTGAAGGTTTTGCACGAATCTATCAGGAAGAGATTCATCCGATCTCCTTGTCTTTTGAGGCAACCCATGCCCCACGGCCTGCCACGGCCCACCTCTCTTGGTTGGAGGTCTTGGCCACCACACGTTCGGAAAGAACAGATGCCGAGCTGCGAGTCGGCTCTGAACCTTTGCTGGTCAGGGCCCGAGAGCCTCAAAGCCCGTTGGTTAGGATTAGCCGAAAAGTCCGCAGTTGACTGGTGGCTGGTGTATGATATGCAGTAAGATTGTTTCTGTAGCTCTTTATCTTGACATTTTGGAAGATACGTTTTGTTCTTGAGGACTCAAAATTCTTCTTGTGCCTCAGCTTCTTAGATAAGCCTCAGACAAATTGTCCAGATTTCCAACTTCTGCAACTGAAGGGCAGAGCACCGATAAAACACAAAAAAGCAGGGCACAAAGTCGGTAGTGTCCAGTGTTGCTGATCCGCCCCCGTCGTGTCGGACGGACGATGTACGTGGCTTCTCAGGTGGCCACGGAGGTTCCACAGCGCTCGGAGGAGTTGCGGGTCTTGGGGCAGGTCGCCAAAACCGGACAGTGCAGAAAGAAACTCAAAGACACTCAACAGTGATGTTGACACTCTTGTTTCCCTTATTTTCCTGTCCCTTTCTTTTGGAGGAAGACTTTAAGCATGTTAGCAGCTTGCCGTTATTCATAAGACGCTGCCCCTTTTTCAGGGGTTTGAACTTCTTTTTGTTGGAACGTCACCACTCATGGTTCAAAGAGTATCTTGATTGGTTGGAGGTAGGTTTCGCATTTATATACTGTGGAATTTGGAACAGGGATTCGGTCAGTCAACATCAGGTGGACGCCTTTTGAAGTTTCTGCAGAGCCAGGTGACCACAGATTCCTTGCCGCCAGATAATATAGATGTCGTCATCTACCTGTCCTTTCGTGGAACAGTCACCTGGCAGAGTTTGTCGCATGTTCTTCTGGGATGCTTTACTGAAGAGTCAAGCAGCAGCTCAAGGCACAACAACAAAACTGCTATTGGTAGCAGGACAGTGATGATTGTCCAATGCACCGTTGCGCATTGTTTGAGTGGGAGTCTTGCCCATTAAATTCAGGGAATCCCAATACAGGTATGAGAACAATCCCTGAGTGACTCACTTATTCCTTCGCAACACAAGCAAACCGGGAACAACTGAGCACAAGATCGCCAGGTGATCCAGATGGTTGTCAGTCGCTCCTTCAAGCTTCACTTGGAAGTGGAGAAAAGGGCCCCAAAAACGTGCAAACACATTTTCGTAGTTGGTTTCTCGCCCCTTCTTGTAGTCGTCCCAAGGTCAGCCAAGAGAACATGATCACCAACCTCAAGGCTGAGCTGGTTCCATTGACTTTAGGCGCCAGTGCCCAAGGCCAAGTGCATCGTGGCTTCCAGGAGACCTGTGTCTCTGGGGAACTCGGCCATGAATCTGTTTCTTGTGAAAGGGGGCAGAAAACCTCTGGGCTCGCGGAAATCCTTTGTTCCTCTTGGGCGTTTTGCTGCCGGGTGCCCTGTGGAGGAATTGATGGGGCACTCATTTTGCTGTTTTGGTGATCAGGGGGCGGAGACATCATGAGTTTAGGATACATTCAGTGCAAATAGACATGCAATAATCAATTTGAAATGGATGCTTTAAAGTTTTACCGTTCAACAATGATTAATTTCTCAAGAATTCCACGCAAATGAGGCACCCTAAGCCCCAAACCCGAACCTACAACCTTAGTTCATTGGTGCGGGGTGCACGGTGCATCCTGGAGCTATGTTTATATACATGTATGCATGTCAGACAAGCGCAGGACGCGTACCTTGCATTGCGGCCTCGCCTGCTGACGAAGCCGCTTGTCACAAGGGTGATGTCAGGATCCGGAACTTGAAAACCTCTTGGGATTTTGGTTCTTTGGGTCTTACAGCTTTAGTTTTGTTTTTTGGAACCTATGACTTGGATGATTCGTTTCCCCACCTCTAATTTAAAGCACGGCATTAAAAGACCTCTGGGCTCTATGATGCTTGGGTGCTGCTGGCACGATCATCCTGGGCTTGACTTGGCTGGCTCACCTCATTTAATGCTACTCCAAGATCTGAGTAGCGACCTGCAAGCAGTTGGCTTCTGGGTTTTGGAGAAATGGACAGCGCACATTTGCGAAGCCAGCCTAGGTGATGACAGTAGCAATCCCAGCTACACCATGATTTGGCTGAAGAAAACACGTTTGGCATTGCCTTTTCCACTCACACTCTTTTGGGTCAGATCCGTCCACTCTATCCTGGGGATGTTTTGTGTCTTCCATCTTGGTGCAGGATATTATGGATGGGTTGATGGAAGGAGAGCCGTTGCCCGTACTCCACAATAAGTACAAGGGTGCATTTCAACGTGGGTTCAGGGATGAGAAGTGGCCAAGGGTATTGACCCATATGGGGTTCATGAATGTCAGACCAGATAGAATGGATGTTTAAGGTTCATTTGGGATAGACATGGGGAAACTAGAATCATGTTGGCAACATTTTTGGGAAAAGAAGGTCCGAAGTCAGGCACGCTGTTGGCAGTGGCAAAGGTTTCATGCCATCCTGTTGTTCATGAGGCTTGATGAGGTCACCGCTGACCCTTCACTGCTGCCGGCCAGAGTGCTGGTGCGGGCGACAGGGCATAGCCTGGGTGGTGTGCTGGCACCACGACAGCAGGTTGGAAGAGGGTGGCCACAGGCATGGTGAAACTTGTCCGAGTTGAATCATCAGCTGCTTTCAAAACGACATCCGCAGCTTGAGAAGCCCCTACATGTCGGTACGGTGGATGGATATGGGCCAATGGCTAACAGGTCCTTGTTATTCTTGGAAATCTTAGAATTTGCACCCCAAACCAAGTTAGGTTTGTACGGGGGGATTGAAGGGATTCAAGTTTCATTCGCACAAGGTTTGAACAACCATGGAGGTTTTGTGGAGTTGAAGGAGTTGGCTCCGTGGGCCAATTCGCCGTGGTTTGTTCAGTGAAGGGCCTTTCCATGTTTGATAGCCAAGAGCTGCATCACGTGATTTGCGGATGAAGCTGAGGCAATGCTGGCGTGCTGGGAACTCAGTGAAGAATGGTCACAGGTCCTTCGTCTACAGCTTCCGCTTCTACTATCAATGTAAATAATGAACCACTCAAGTTTTGATGCAACTGGAAGGAACCGGACTTCTTGCACTCCCTCTCACTTTTGGCCACACAAACCATACTTGGTGATTCACTTTACCTGATCATTTTCCCGTTTTTATTTGTTAGTGTGCTTGGAATTGCTACAGGTCAGAGCAGATTGCTGGTTGCTCCTCACATTGTCCTTGTCCTCCCAAGCTCTGAGGCTACGACCTCCGGTCTTGCCGTGGCGTGACCTGCGAGTGTGTGACGTGGGGTGCGCCGCGGCTGGGCGACGGAGGCTTCGCCGAGCTGTGGAATGCTGCAGGAATCAAGCTGGAGCGGTTGGTGAACAGGAGCGCAGCGCGTGGATGACCTGCGCGTGCAGTGGCTGATGGGGAATCAGTAGTCATTCTCATGTGGATAGAATATATAATTGGTCTTGGTGGGTGGCTAATTGTAATCGTTTTCAGACAAGGTTTACGTTTAGGATCATATCTTCCAGGGATGGTGCAGGAGGATGGGGACATTGTCATACTCAGACTTATGTGAGGTTGGCCAAGAAGGCATCAGCTGTGTGACTCGAAGACCATCTCCATCCCTTGAGGTTTGATGTGGTTCCGAGACTACCTTCAAACCAAGAAGATGAGGCCTGGGAGAGGGTTCAGTCAAGAGCGTCGATTCTCGACCCGTCCAGCTTTGATGACATACCCTTCCACTGTTTTAGTTTGAGGGTTTGCTAACCTCATCCAGGGATTCTATCAATGGAACAGGTCATCCAATGTTTTCCTGTTTCACTACAATTGCAATTCGCATGTCTTGTGTGTGAGGCTCTGAATGATTTGTGCAGGCCGGTGAGCAGGGGCGAGTGGCCGCGCAGCTACATCAATGGCTGGGCCGAGTCCAAGCTGCCCGCAATGCTCTGGGCTATGTCCACTTCTGTGACTCCGTGGAGCGTGGGCTTTGGAGGGTGAATGAAAGTGTGTCAGTATCAACATGTTCATTCACAAGGATGCATCAAAAAGGTTCACCCACATCGACAGTCACGAACGATGTATCTCATGTACCCCAGAGCCACATGTGTGGGGCAGAGCCACATGCTTGGCTCGGTGGCTCGGTCCAGGACCTGGACACCTCCGCGGCCGCGGCGGCCTTGCACTGGGCCAACGCTGCAAAGGTTGCGGCCTTGTCGTCAGCTTGGCAGCAAGAGCTTGGGCAGTTGTGGGTGGTTCATGTTGGTTCACCGGGAAGACACCCAAGCACTTGGATTTGTTGGTCTAGTTTTCCCACAGTAATCACTTAATTGCGGGACAAAAAGGTGAAGTTCAAGAGGGTTCCAAGGTGTGGTGTGGAGGTCTGGGCCAAGCTGGTTTGTGCGCTGATTTAGAAATCAGATACTGGGGTTGACTGCACTCAATGAAGGCATTAGCTCCATTTCAATTGCTGGGCCAGCGATCAATTGATAATGCCCGCTATTTTTGTCGTAGCCGCATTGTATTTGCCTCGTCATGTGCCAGATAGTG